GATAGATAGATAGATAGATAGATAGATAGATAGATAGATAGATAGATAGATAGATAGACAGACAGATGAGGCAGACAGGTAGAGAGAAACTTGCAATATTTTTTTCTGAGAACAGAGACATTGGGTGTTCTTTTAAGACTCCAGCTGTTTTTAAAATAAATATATAAAAATACATCTGGGCCGAAAGTTGGACATGCCACATAAGGCTGTTTTAGTGAAGATCCAACCTCTAGTAATCATCACCTGGGAAAGCTAAAATATGCTCTAACACAGATCGGGACCGCTGGTTTTCTTTCAATGCTGCAATTCGAACATCCTTCAGCTGCAGCCAACATCCAAGTTGAGAGCAGCATCTGGATTGTCTAAAGTTTAGAGCTAGAAGCCCCCGGAAGAGAAGGAACTTTTGTGAACTGAAATTCACGCTTCGGCCTCAGAGCTGCTTAGATCTCTGTTCAGTCTGAGGCAACAAAACCTCAGTACAAACGCAAACAGAGCCATTAATGGACAGTTGAAAAGTGGAAACGGATCAGAGGTGGTATTCAGCTGGTTTGGACCGGTTCTCGAGAACTGGTAGCAGAAATACTGAGTAGTCCAGAGAGCCCTGCAAATCCCACCTCTGTGGGAGCGTCATTACTTGAGACTTTCAAGAAGAGATTGGACTGCCCTTTGTCAGAAATGGTGTAGGGTCTCCTGCTTGGGCAGGGGGGTTGGACTAGATGACCTACAAGGTCCCTTCCAACTCTTATTAATCTGTTATCTGTCATCTGACTGGCCCCACCAGCCCCATCTCTTCTCTGCCTCCCATGGAGTCCCAGCTGATCGGCTGGGTCTCCTTTGGTTGCCCTGCACAAGGAGAATGGACCTGGAAAGCAGGTTAGTGGAGTGCGGAGGGGAGGGGGATTTAGCAGTACATCCTTTCTCGGCCACGCCCAAGCCACGCCCACAGAACCGGTAGTAAAAAAAATTTGAATCCTACCACTGAGATGGAGGCGTATTTCTGAATGCAAAATGGCTGTTTGGGGTAACAGCAACAAATTAGAACTTCTTGATGTTTTAAGGATGATCGAAAGGGAGGAGTGAGGAAATGTTTACAAAAACAGGAAGCGTCGTCTACTGGTCATCCTTCGCTCCCTCCGCAGTGGAAAGCTTGCGAATCTAACGTTAAGCAAGGCCAAGGGCTAATTTAATCTCATCCCGTCTGGTTTCTTCTGAAATTGTGCGTTTATTTATTTCAAAGCAAACACAGCTACCCAAACAGATGGCATGTCAGGAGGTCGGGTGTCAAGAAGCGCGTCATT